TTGCTGCTTCATCAATTTTCAGATTTGATTCAGAACTTACACCTCAGAAGCAAATGAGAGAAAGAGCACTAGGGGCGATGCAGTATTTGATGACATTGGTTCGGTATACAGCTGTTAGTATTCCTCCTTGATAGTAAAATTTCTCCATTTTACTATCAAGTTTTCATGATTTTTGTGAATATTGATGGTTAACTGTGCAAAACTAGTTTTTTTTTGTACTCTGGTTTATTTACTGCAACTAGTCAGAAACAAGTTTTGACAATGTTAACACTTAAATTGGCATTGCAGTGCCCTTCATGTTCATCATGTCTAGAATGCTCATTGCTTATTAAGCAAATCATATATATAGCTATTGCCATTTTTCACTGAAATTGAATATTAAAGATTTGTGTCTATATTTAGCATTTTGTGTGCCTAAAGGAACCTTCTATTTATGTTTTGGAAAGAGGCTGCATATAATGTGTAATTAATGGGTCAAATGAAGTTTGCTAAAGGCAACTTTGTTGGCACAATCTAAACACAATATACTGGTAGAGACACAAGTGCTGGTCTATGCAATGTGTAATTAATGGGTCAAACGAAGTTTGCTAAAGACAACTTTGCTAGCACAATATAAACACAATATCCTGATAGAGACACAAGTGCATATAACACTGATCTATGCATTATTTTTTTCATTTACAGGTAGTAAGTACTAAGTGCTGTTGACTACTTTTGATAAAGTGAATTTCTTGTTGTTTTCATGAACCACTAATCTGATTTGAAATTGTTACAGACTTGCTCATTGACTCTTTCTGGGCATTTATCATTTTCTGAAACATGGTTATTCTTCTGATTTCCTGAGAAAAAATTTCCTTCTTTGTTCATTAAATTTTATACCTCCTAGGACCTGTACCATGAGATGTATGACTTGGGTAGATCGGAGAAAGAATATCAACAGAGACTTCAGGACAAGATTAAACTTCCAGTTCAAAGAGGTAGAGTGGCTTTATAAATGAATATCCTGAATTTAATCATGATTTTGAGACTACAGTGCTAAACATTTTCTTACTTTAAGCTTCTAGAATACAGGTTAGACCTCATATAATGAAGTAACTGATGCTTATCTGGATGAATGCTTTGCCTCTACATTGTTCAAAAAACATGTCAAAATGCTGTTTTGTTTTAGTTAATTTAGAAATGATCATCAAATGCCTACAACCAGTGTTTGTCCTTGAAAATATTGTGGTTTTCTTCCTCAGTACAACTAAGAGTACTTTCCTAAAAAAAGAGAACTCAGAATTTTCTACTCAAAGTCAATGTGGCCATGTCATGACAAAGAGATTAAGTTGGTAGTAATTAAAAATCTATCTCAAGCAAACTCTGGCATGAAACCATCAAGATTACCACATTTTACAAGTAACAAAATCTTTAATAATTTATGACAGTCAACTCAAGGTTAGAGTCGAGTTGTCATAAAATGAAGCCATAATTACCATACTGAAGGAAGAAAGCTTAGGGTATTGGAACCATGGATTCCAGCCTAAGTGAATACAAAGAAAACTAGACCATGACACAAAAGGTGGACTATGAAAACTGAGGGAACTGTACTCAAAGGTTTTTCTCTCAATTCTGTATTACTTTACTGATTTTATTCTTTAGATAATGCATTCATCAACATGATAATAGTACTCTAAAAAACTTTTGAACTTCAATTTAACATTAAATCATTGCTGTTCTCATGTGATAACAGTGATACCAGATTTAGTCCATCACAAACAGCTCATCTTCTGCTTTGTTCACATGCAGGAGACACTCATCTGATTCTAAGGGAAGAACTGAAGAGCCAACATAAGAATGTAAAAATCTTAAAGAAAAAGTCATTTTGGTCCAAGAGTTTGGAAGAGGTAAGCTGATGGTACTGATTTACATATTGCAATATAATAAGTCCTGTCATACACACTATGATTATTAATTATCAACTTTCTTTAGTATTTTTGTTCATCGGTCGCTTGAATCTCTGATTTTTATGTTTTTGTGGTAATATAATTTACTTATTCTCTTCTATTCTAGTCTTTCTGATATATAAATATTCTGCACAATAATGAAGGATTTTCTTTTTCAACTACTTGGGTGATTAATAAAACTATTCAAACTTTATTATAGGTCATGGCAAAACTCATGGTGATTGTTCACTTTTTGTATTTGGAGATTCATGCTACCTTTCAGCTTGCTGGTATTTTTTTCTCTCAACAGTTATAACTCATTACTCAAATACTATTATTCTCTTCACTAATATGAAGACAAATTGTTGGTCACCCCTTGTGATTAATACTTCAAAGTTCAAACCCGGACCCAGTATTTTAACTTTATTGAAGGTTGTAGAATTTATATGCCTTTTTCCTAATGAGTGATAACCCATTTTTATGTTGCATTCAACATACAACTTTTAATCTAATTACTGTGCTGCTCTCAACTTCTTGGAAAGGTTTAAAAATGTTTTCTTGTCCTTCTGTAGATGGAGATAAACATGTTGGAGTTTCCAATGTTCATCAGAGATTAGGACAGGCCGGCCTTGCATTGCACTATGCAAATGTCATAACCCAAATTGTCGCACTTGTAAGTCTTTATTGTGACACCTAATTTTTAATGCTTGTCTATTGTTAACAAATATTGTTAATCTTTGATCTTATTGTTTCATTGTACTGATTTTTCATTGTTTTCCTTTTTTTTAAACTGCAATTTAGATTATTTATTCCAATAGATTTGGCATTATAGAACTTTTTTTCAGAAAATTACCTCCAAGCCCTTCTAAATTAATTTTCCTTCTAATGTAGTTTTAATTTTAGGCTAAGTGCAGAGTTCTGGTTCCCCTTTTCACCTATCAGATTACTAGACAAGAGATCCATATATCAGTATATTTGGTTTTACATCTTCGGTGCATGTCCCTGACTCCTAAAGCCTGAAATTATCAGATGTTATAATATGAGAAATGTAAATTTGATGAGAAAAGGCATCAACAAAGTTTGCTACTCTCTCTCTCTCTCTCTTCTCCATATGAACAATATTCTAAAACTGGGATTTTCCTGTAATACAAATATCAAGAAAGATGCTTAACATGTGATAGAATTAATCTACTGGTTTTACTGACTAACATTGATTGTTTGTTTACTTAAAAAATCCTAGCTCCAGTCCTCATTGTCAGCAGGTTCAATAAGAACCTTCTAATGCATAGGAACAGTTTCTGTTCTGACTATTGCGGTCTCTTGTGCATATTAGGTTTCACAATCGAGTTCTGTGCCTCCAAGCACAAGACACTCATTGTACCAAGGATTGCCACCCAGCGTGAAATCTGCTTTACGTTCTAAGTTGCAATTTTTTCAGTTCAAGGAAGAGGTAAGCTAATGCATAACTTCAGCACTTGCGCAGACCATAGAATGACTAATGTTATCATAATTTTATGAAAATTTGTATGCAGCTAACAGTTCCTCAAATCAAATGTGAGATGGAGAAAACTTTGCATTGGCTTTTTCCAATTGCAATCAATACAATCAGGTATCCTTTTTCTTTGAGTATCTTTGTTTATACTTCAGCATATAACACAGAATTTTGTTGATTTTATTGAATCTTTTTGGCCAATGACTTGCACTTGTGTTTCTACTTGTGGCCATCGCAAATCATCAGAGCACACCAAGGCTTTGGTTGGGTTGGTGAATGGGCAAAAACAAGGTCAGTAGCTAATTCACTGCTTTCCTTGTGGAAAATTTGACATCTACTAATGTAAAAGCAAGTCATTTGGGATTGTCTGTTTTTCTTTCAGGATCGAATTGAATCAGATTGCTGCTGCGCAAACTGGTGTAGTCAAGATCGAGACACTCTACCATGCAGACAAGGCAAAGACCGAAACATACATACTAGACTTGGTGGTGTGGCTTCACCACCTTACAGTTCGGTGTAGGCCTGGCAATGCTGGTTTTAATCCCCCTGTTAAATCGCCTAGTTGTTCTCCTGCAACAAAGAGATCATCAATCTCTTCACCAGTGATCAAACCAATCGGTTCTCTATCAAAAATTACCTCAGTAGACCAAGAGATGTTGCGAGATGTCAACTTGAAGAAACCAACTCCAGGGATCTGCAAAAGCCAGGAATTTGGCACTTGCGGACCAACAACTAGCAAGCAGAAGATAAGCAGTAGTCACTCCACAACAAGGGAGTACAAAGAGTTTTCGCCTACGACTGTTGTCAGTTTCGACATCAACAGGAAGAGAGCATTAAGAATACCTGAAAGAGTGGACCGAAGTACCAACTTACGATCTCCGTAAAAGATGACGAATTGGTCTGATTTTTTTCGTGTACATCACATGCATGTCTCCCAAAATTTGGCTGAGCCAAGGGGCCAACATGAACTTGTAAAGAGTCACCAAACATGTCTGTAATGTTTGGAATTGTTGTCATGATCGATATGTTCTATGTGTACGACAATGAACAAAGTCCCTAGTAGGAATGAGGTTAAATGGTCATTACTGTACAAGGTGAGAATCCGATAATATAATTTTTCTCTGTTTGTGTCATTATATATAGTCTTATGAACATATATATATATATATATATATATATATATATATATATATATATATATATACACAGCAGCAAGCCTTGAGAAGTAGCATAATTAGTAGCATATAAACATCTACTTATCTGTAAAAATAAGTGCTGTCAAATGTCAAACTATGGACTAAAGATTTAGATATTTTTTAATTAATAAAAAAAAAATAAAAAAAAAATAATGACGATAAATCATGCAGTCGATTCAAAATAATTGGGAGATGCGATAGGTTGGCGGACAAGACGGAGGTGCAGTATATCAGCCGTCCTCAAAAGTCATCCTCCAAAACGTGTACTTTTTATGTGGGACCCGCAGTCCGCTTTCTCGCTGCGACGAATAAGAAGCTAGCGCGTGCATTGGTTGAGTGTTCCGCAGGACTATGTGCGCTACCTTTAAAGCACACGCGCCCGTTTCCTGTTTGCCATCCTCCCACTCCCACCCGTCTCCGCTTCCGTTTCCCCAAAGAATGGCCATTGCTTATCGTTCGCCACCGCCCTGCTTATCGTGCGCCATACCCTCGGCGAGGGGTCCGGTCGCGTCCGCCTCGCCGTTCCTAGACGACCCCCGGCGCCAGAGTCTGCTGCCGCGTCGGCTCGGTGGATCGAGGGGGCCGGGGGCTCGAAACCCCTCGAACTTTTCCTCCGTCCCTGTGTCGAGGCGGCGGCGACGGCGGTGGCAGAGCTTGCGCGGCGGCAAGGTGGTAGTTTGTGTGTCTTCAGATGCTCGTAAGCCTCGCTCCCTGCTTGAAAAAAATTCTTTCTTTGATGTGATTATTGACTAATTAGATTCGATATGTTATCTGTATTCTAGACGTGAGTTCGAGATGCTGTAGCGCTCTAATTTAAGTAAATATTTCTCGAAAAATGCGTTTCCTCTTATTTTTGGGTATTTGTGTGATCTTGTATCTCCTCCCATCATAGTTGATTTGGTAGCTGATCAGATTAGGGTTTCTGAGCATTTGTTTTCACCATTTTTGGTGTCTGCTTTTCATTGACAATCAATTTCTTCGGTATAGTTTTTGTTCTGAGGTGAATGCAAAGAAATGGGTGGGTGACATGAGAATTTGGGATGCATTAGACGATTTTGATGCTTTGGAAGTTGAGAACCATTTGGATGATGTGTTGTACCATCGTCCGGTGGGGATCTTATGGATGCGCAAGATCAAGATGGATGCCATTGCCTTCTTGTCCAAAACCCCGACCCTGCTGTTAAGAGGCAGAAGCAACGATGGTGGTAGAATTGCGACATGTTCATGTGAAAGAATTGATAACGAATGATAATTAAGGGCATGCACTAATCTACCTCTTTTTTTTGAATTTCTGCACTAATTTAGATATCATACAGGATTTCCGCTATTATGTAACTTCATTTCTGATTTGGTGATCGGATTAGTACTTCTGTGAGATACAAGGGCATCAAATATGTAAGAAATATGAACATATTTAATTTGATGTAGATACTGTGGCCAATTTGATCGACACAAAAATTATGTGAAATTAGATATTTCCTCCTTTGGAACTTTGAACGTGATCAGAGTTTAATACGCTTAGCATAATATCTTGGTTCTGATCTTGATTTAAATCTAGTTTTTATTATCAGATGCGGAGTTGCAAATATAGTTAATGATAAACTGCAGTTATTAGAAGTTTCTCTCATAAGGTATTTTGTGATTTTGTGTTTATTCTCTGGCCTTCCAACAAAGAAGATGCTAAACATCTGATCATTTAGATGTTAAGGCTTTCATATTAGTTTTCCATTAAATTTACCAAAACTGTAATTTATCTGAATTCATCTTATAAATAAATCTTCAAGGTCCCGTATTCTAACTGGAATTTTATACGAGACTTCCAGCTGAATGGTATGTGCAGTAGGTAAGCATTATAACTTTAATATTTCTTTTCTTGATCTTTGGAAAAATAGCATGATAATTTGAGGATTTGATCTATGTTTCACATGCCATCTGGAATTTAACAAAAAAAGACTGGAAGTTATCTTCTATAGCTTTCAGTGTTTTAACTTATATTCATGATTAGCCATGTTGTGTAGACAGATAGCTGAATTTGCTTGATTTTATGTTCCCAGAGCTCAGCAGTAATTTTCTGCCGGGTGATCACAAAAGAAAAGAGAACTTTCAAAGTATGTCATTGAAGGTGCCAGAAGTTAGATTGTGATCAATAATAATAAGAAAGCAGTTGATCAAACTGGTGGTGTTAGGTTCTTATATAGGCAAACATCTCAATCCTAGTTGGGCTGATGACAGGCATTCTGGACTTGTATTATCATGGACAAGAAGGCCATTTGATATTGCTAATTCTAAACCATATGCATAGGATATGAAAAACACACAATACTCTTCAGTATCCGAATGCAAGAACTTGAAATCTTCATTAAATATTTGATAATTGTCTATACTGGTACATTCTAGAAGCAATCTCTCTGTGATTGGAACTTTCCCATCTATATTCTTTGACAAAAATACTAGAAATTAACTTTGCAGCACTTGAAAGATGAAGATTGGTAGAACATATCCTCTTTATGAATAGACTGGTGTTTGGAACTTTTCGGTGTGCCTACTTGGTTGATTGTTGGTATCTATAACTTAAAGGTCATTTATTGTCCTTACCGAGCAATGTGTTTGTTGGATAGCAAATGCTTTTGCCTTTCAGCTGGCATTCATGATGATCAATTTCTTTTGTTGGGTTTTCGTAGCTGAAACAATAACCGCATCTGCCTGGGACGTTTCTGTTCTTCAAAGTGATTTGCCCGTTCTTGTTGAGTTTTGGGCTTCGTGGTGTGGACCATGCAAGATGGTTCACCGTTTGCTCGACGAAATAGCACGAGAATATGCTGGAAGAATTAAACTTTACAAGCTCAATACCGATGACGATCCGCAGGTTGCTACTGTTCATGGCATCGATCGAATTCCCACAGTTCTGCTATTCAAGAATGGTGAAAAGCTCAAGAGCATAACCGGTACTCTGCCCAAGTCCGTATATGTGGAAGCCATCGAGCAGTTATTATGACACTGAGGGAGCTACTTCTCCGGAATCTCAGTTCTATTCGTCTGGAATTGTATTTCTTAACTGCTGCACTCGAGTGCAAAAGCTGGATGGTCGAAGCAGGTTTTGGTCCGAAATGATCTGTTTGTATATATATTCATTTTTATACTTTGCTAGAAAAACTGCAACATCCAAAATGTATGACAAACAAAAAGAAAAGCAGAAAGGATCACAGTCTATACACTTACTGGATCAAAGACATGGCTATTTATTGAGGTCCCTGAAGAAAAAAAAGTATAATTCAGAGTAATCTGATTCTTTTTCATGCTTTGATTCCAAGTGTTACATTAGATAACATGTTGTGTTTCAATGACATACTCCTTGGTGCCAGAAAGCTTGGGCAAGGAGAGTTGATGAAATTTATTTTTGTCTAATAACTGGTAATAAATTATTCTTGACCAATCCAAGTTTCAAAAGTTATGTTGACTTGGGTTTGCACGAGCCTTTGGATATATCGAATCTTATGTTCTTATGTTTCGATGATAATTTGTTTTGATCATTTCGGGTGTCGAACAATTTAGGCAAAAATTCGATGGTAATTTGTTTTGATCATTTTTCCGAACTAAAACATGATGGATCGGTAGAACCAAATCATCGTGCCCGTTCGATTCCCTTCACGCTTAAATCAGCAAGTGATGCAAGAACTGCAATGAGATGCAGGAGCGGAGGCGGCCACGGCGTGTGAACGACGGTTGCGGAGCACGAGCCGGCAAGACTTGGACGAGTCTTCGTCTTCCTCCAGGCGGTGGTTGTGACGTCGTTAACGACATTAAAATCTGTGCAAGTGGAATCGAGGAGACGCCACGCTGCTCGTCACCCACTAAAATAAACGTCTGCCCATATCTTACATTGCCAATTCCGCACGCCATACGACTCGACTAGATGTGACCGATGGCGTTTTAATAATACCTTAGATGTCGAGTTTAAATTAGTTTGAATTTGATTTGAGTTGAGATTTGTTTCTGATACCAGAATCAAATATTCACTAACTAACTAACTAATTCCTTTGACCGAGTCAATTTTGTCGCGAAAGATGCGTCCACATACAATGTTTTTCTTTCAATTAAGTATGGATGATACATTAACACCAATAATTAGGTTGTAAGAAATTATCAATACTTAATCTAATCAAGCAAATAAATACGATAATGGAAACATATTCATAGATGAAATTATTTTACTAATCAAAATCAGTGAGATTACAGCAAATCAAATCATTTTTCCGAATAAAAATAATAATAATAATATAAATAAAGCAAATCTAAATTGAAGAAAAAAAGGTAGTAAAGTGATCCTCCAACTTTTGACACCAATAAAATTGGTCGATCCTTTCCACGCTCGTGCTCAGTCTAGTCAACATTTCACCGACCCCCCCCCCCGCTCCAAAACCTTATCTTTGTTCTGTGCCACACACAAAAAGTTGTTCACCAAACATTTAAATTAAATGGTCATTCCCGAGTCATAATTTATTCCTTTTTTCTTACTCTATTAAGAAGCTCTCACTTCTCGATCATGTAATTAATAATGCACACAAACTCCTGTCTCTCTCCAAAAGATAAAGCAACACTCGACATCTTCGATCGATGTAAAGATAAAAAAAAATTGACATCGAGCTACACACTTGATATTGATTTGATGTCGATCCGAACGAAATCTTGGTTGTCAAGTCAACCTGGATGAGGAACTTGCAGCCAGCCCTAAAGATAAGGTTTTATGTTTTATGATGACGACTTGGATTGGATAGAAACTCTCTCATGAGGAGCATCGAATCGGTCACGAAAGGCAAGTGGATTGTATGCGTCCTTCTTTTTTCTTTGTTTAACGCTCATTATTCTCATCCAGACGAACAAGATTCGTTTAATCTTTTCCATATAATATGATAGCCGCCTCACGTAATCTAATGCTCATGTCAGCTGATGTCTCGGAGATGGTAATGTTCAAACAGGCAGGCCATCATCTTGCAGGTTCTTTGTATCTATGAAAAGCTGTCGGTCGATTAACCAAATCCTTTTGTTTGTCAATCTCGAAGCTATAATATGATGTTTTCTGGGAATATTCTTCTCACTATATGCTTAGTGAATTCATCATATATGTTAAGCTTTAACAGTGGTGTGTGCTTATACTCAATCCAGTGTGTGTTTTAACTTAGATCTGTAACGCAATTTACATGTAGCAAGTAGATTAGTAGTCGTATTATAATACAACTCCGGGCAAAGGCAGTGGTGGACTTGCGACCTTTGCAGCGGAAGACATGGATCTGGATAACCCCCGTACTGTCATCTTCCACAGTCCACATGACCCACAGTTTTCTTGTACAAGTATTTGCATGCCCGGTCGCCATTAATGCCTATAAATGAAGGCCACATGTGGAAGGAGGCCTGTGCCCGGAACAAGCCTCTTCGACACTGTGCTTTTTACCTTGCTTGCCCGTCCATCCATCCATGGCTTCTCCGGTACCGTCGTCTGTGCTTCTGCTTCTGCTCTCCTGCATTGCCTTCTTCTCTGCTTCCTCACAAGCTTATGAGTACCCTCCCATCGTGAGTGGCCTCTCCTTCGACTTCTACAAGTCCACCTGCCCCAACGTGGAGCCCCTCGTCAGGAACTACCTGGCGCAGCTCTTCAAGAAGGACATTGGCCTCGCCGCTGCCCTCCTCCGCGTTCACTTCCATGACTGTTTCGTCCAGGTAGGCATCTTTAGCTGTGAACGATGCTATCATAGAGCTGTACTGTGAGATCACGCGCGCGTGTGTGTGTGTGGGGTTCGTGTTTGCAGGGCTGCGATGGTTCGATTCTGTTGGATGGGTCGGCAGGCGGACCGAGCGAGAAGAACGCGCCGCCCAACTTGACGCTTCGGCCGGCCGCCTTCAAGGCCATCAACGACCTCCGGACACTCATCTCCAAGGCTTGCGGACAGGTCGTCTCTTGCTCCGACATCTCCGCCCTGGCCGCCCGCGACTCGGTCTTCTTGGTATCCATCGACTCCCCCTCCGACTCATCTTTCTCTCTCTAAAGCTGTCGGCGATGCCAGTCCTGATCCTCCTCTGATCTTTATCTTCTTCTAGTCCGGCGGCCCCGACTACAGGGTTCCACTGGGCCGGCGAGATGGCCTGAGCTTCGCGACCCGGGATGCCGTCCTCAGCTTCCTCCCCTCGCCTACATCCGACGTCACCACCCTCATCAACGCCCTCGCCAAGCTCAAACTCGACACCACCGACCTCGTCACCCTCTCCGGCGGCCACACCATCGGTATCGGCCACTGCACCTCCTTCCAGAACCGGCTCTTCCCCTCCCAGGACTCCACCCTGGAGCCGACCTTCGCCAAGAACCTCTACCGGACCTGCCCGGTCAAAGACACAACCAACACCACCGTCAACGACATCCGGACGCCCAATACCTTCGACAACAAGTACTACGTCGATCTCGTAAGCAAGCAGGGCCTCTTCACCTCCGACCAGGGCCTGTTCGGCGACTCCAGGACCAAGCCCCTCGTCACCAGCTTTGCCGCCAACCAGCCCTTGTTCTTCGGCAAGTTTGTGTACTCCATGACCAAGATGGGCCAGCTGAGCGTGTTGACTGGCAAGCAAGGTGAGATCAGGAAGAACTGCTCGGCGCTCAACTCGGGCAAGAAGGTCTTGTGGTCTGTGGTCGATGGTGAGGGTGATGGCAGCGAGGTGTTCTGAAGCAAACGTTGTATGCAGCTTGCACAATAAATGGTCGATAGATTGGGACATGGATGTGTTTCCAAGACATCATCACTCTCCTATCTCCCGTCTTCAACCTTTTGTATCTTATATGTTTCGGGTGCTTCAATTACCATAATTTACGAGTAAGACACTGTTTTCATGATTTGAATCGTAGTATTGGAAATCAAAAAGGAACGATCATATCATAATTAAATATTTACGAATGACAGAAGCTGATTTTTTTTCTGTTGGATATTAATGAGAAATACATGTACACGTAAAAGAAAAAGGACAAATATAATATTTATAACCTTTGCAAGGATGGATCTGTAAAAATACCACACTCAACTGACACATATTTGAATGGATGGCTGAGATCGTTTCCCAGCCCGACATATTCGAATGGATGGCTGAGAGACGCCGCTGCTCGTCTCGCCATGGACCTCTCGCAGATACTAAACACCCTTCGCTGCCGAATCGTCTACGCCCGCTACAGTGCGACGAGCTCGTGCTCCAGGAAAGATCCTCCATCGCCTTCCTTAGGGTTTCGAGCTCGATTCTTCTCCTCTGTTCTTCAGACCTTTAATGATCGCTCATCAGGCAATCGATCGTTGGCTTATTAGGTTGCCTCGCGGGGGATCCCCTACCGGGAGGAATGGCCCTTCGCAATCCATCTGCTGGGCGAACGATCTGTAACCCGGCTTCTTTTGTTTTCCAAGTGCGTTTGCTCTCATGGTTCAGTTGATTCGTGGGATGAATCGATGGATGCTTGTGTTGATTTCAGGAACGGCGCGAAGTTTTTGTGGAAGTCGATGCCCCGAGAGATGAAGGAGAGCGGACCGGAGCTCGTCGCCGCTTGGAAGATCGGACAGTGCCTCTAGACTCGGGATTATGCCGGGGTTTATGATGCAATCCATGGCTTTGAGTGGAGCCCCGAAATCGCTGGCTTGGTCATCGCCTTCTCAGGTAGCATCTCCCAATAGATTGCCGTTTCTTTAGATTGGCTAGATGAATTCATGTGAACATGCATTTCTATTACTCCATCTAAGCTATATAGCTCTTGATTCACACATAATCTAGTGGAGTTGTGGAACTCCAATATTCTCTCACTCAATTAGTCTTTTCGATTTTGATGCTTCTATAGGTATGTTGTTTAGGCCCATTACAAGTATAGCACTGTTTCTTGGATTTTAACATAGAGGTCACATTGTGTGACTCATGCCGAATGCATATTAGTTCCTGTGGATACACTTTGGTAGATTAGTTATATTCTCAATGCCTACAAGTATGTGCATTTTTTAGCTCTAGGCATTTGACCACTTCCCTCTACTAAATCATTCGGCACCAGTTGCTTGAATGCCTAGCCATTGTATCTCCCTGCAATATTACTAAAGTGAGTTTTCAAGAAAGAGACGTTGCAGACATCTTTCTAAAAGTATATTTTGGGGTAGCCAAACATCTCCTCTTGTTGCATTACAGTTTCCAATATATGTGGTAATCTGCTAGTGTATAATCTGTATGTGAAAAGGGGACCACCGGATGTTTGGAAGAAGAGTAAGTCGGGCTATAAATTAAAATTAAAATGCACATGGAGGGAATTCTTACATCTATAACGACCTATGGTTGTAGGATAGTAGACATAGTCAAGGATGTTGCCTCTTCGGTGCAAGGTTTCATGGAAGATGGATTTTTCATAGATAGGAAGTAGGGGCTTTTAAGTTGAAATTGATCATCAGGTTTGTAGGAAGGATAATGTGAATGAATTTGAATTGATATTTGAAACATAAAGGCAGTGTTTATCAATTGCCTTGGAGGTAAACTTGTGCAAGGTTTAGAAAATGAATAGAGGTTTTGATCTATTCTTCCTGAGACTGGTGTTAGAGACTGCCCAAGAGCTTCCTGAGATTGGTGATAGGAACTGTCTAAGATGCTTATTGGACTCTTTTGTACTCCATTTTGTTCGATGGTGATTCAGGCTTTGTCACGTTTTAGTTGGGCGAAACCTCTACCCAGTATATCTTTGACTGTTATCTTTGACGGTCAACTGCACGCATAGTACAATGGTCCAGGAATGCACATTACTGAAAAGAGGCTGAGCGATTGAATTATTATTTTTCTTAATTTTGTTCCAAAATGAACAAAAGATGCACCATTATATCCCCTTGCTATCCCCGTGCTGGATGTTATATCAAAGCTGTGCAACAATGTCCCAAACTGTTCCATCTTTTTGCATTCATCTTTGGAAGAATCATAAACATAATCGAGAAAAATCTATCCAATTGAAAAGTTTTGTAAAAAGATGACTTTTAAGTTGATGGATGATTGGTAGGTTTCTTCAAATTGAAATGATTTTCAGGTTTACAAGAGTGGTAACTTGGATGGTTTTGGATTAAAACTCTGTGCATGCACACATAACCAATCACTCCCCTTTGTCTTCACAATTCACTTTATGTGCTGTGCTCTCAGGAGATTTTCATTGAAAATGTTTATCGATTGGTTGAATAATGTTTAATTTTTATTTTCCTATGTTATTTTTCCTGTTAATATAATATGGTATGGAAAAGATTAGAAAAATACTTGTTCAATTATGCTATGTTCTGTGAGAATGACATCAAAGCTGGAGTTGGCAGTTATTTCCAGCCACTCATCGCGGACTTCTTTTTGGTTATTCAATGATGGAACTGAAGCCTAATTCTGTTCTGGAACTTTTTGCTTTTCGAATACTCAGCTGCTTTTTTTTTTTTTTGAAGATGAATATTGGAGCAAAGGATGAATCAAGTGTTGTCACTAAAGTGTTTCACGAAGCTGTCCGAAGCCACTTGCAATCTGGATTCTCTGTTTTGGTACATGACTCACCCATTTACTGAGCATCATGAATAATTATTGCAACCCTCTGAAAACCCATATTGCCCGACTTTGATTTTTTGTAGGGTTTTACGGTTTAGTAATTTAGTGGGTTTTTTTTTTATATAATTCAACTGTGACAAAGATAATCATCAAAATTTTCATTCTTAATTGTTTAAATTAACAATTTAATTGTTCGTTGTTAAAAGATAAACCATTATGAATCAAGTGTTTGGTATTTACTTGTAGATGCACTGCAAACATGGTTGGACATTGGATACACATGCTAGACTGTGAAGTAGTATATATTATGATGTATAATGCATACGTTATAATTTTATAATGTATATATTACGATGTATAATGCATATGCTAGACATGAATATGTTATAATGTATAATGCATGTATATACTATTAAGTATAATGGGTGTATTTACTCAAAATGTAGTCTTTCATTAACATTTTATTTTTGAGTTTGATCAAGTAAATATAAGTTAATTCACTACAAAATAATTATAGTATAAATTATCATATTCATAATATATTTTGAAAAACATATTTCGAATTATATGATTCTCATGAGTTAGACATGAGAAATATAAATATATTTATTTTGTACATATAAAAATATATTGTATGTATGTACATATGATGACATAGGATATGAGAGTGCACTTATTTTTTATGACGTGCCATTTAAGTGCATGAATATGTTATAATGTATAATGCATGTATATACTATGAAATATAATATGATGGAATGTATATGTATTATGAATACATGGTGTGAGAATATATATATATATTATGAAATATGATATGAGAGTACATATATATATTATGACTGACGTACGGTGTGAGAGTATACGTATATATATTATAACGTGTGAAGTGAGAGTACATATATATATTACGATGACGTATAATGTGTGAGTGTATATAAATATTTTGAATTATTTCATAAATTTACTATGTTTCCTAAGTGTGCATATAAATATTTTAAATTATTTTAATATAAAATTTTATATTTTTATTTTGCATATGCTATATTGTAGGGTTATGCTTGCAAAAGAAATTATAAGACAAGGGGTTTACTATTAAATATCTCATGTTAATGATTTTGAAATATTATATACATGACATGAAACTTGTTCACCTAAATAAAACTATAAAGACTTATATTTATTGAGTGATTACTCATTATATATCCTATTTTGTAGGTAAAGATACTAGTTATCCACCCAAATGATTGGGTAGGAAAGTCAGTACGTACGTGTATAAGCTTCTAGCAACATAGATATGGACGATGACCTATGAGCATTTTACATGTATAACATTTACTCTAATAATCATGGTCTGCAGTATCGACTCGTACCGCTTGGTAGTTCGACAGATTGTCGGTACACGGACTGATTGTTATCAGTCCGAGTGCACTGTAGATTGTAGCAAGGTACTGTAGCACTATAGCTATGCTACAGTACTCGACATACCTGGATGTACTGCTCGGTATACCGTACCATACCGGTATCGAACCCAGATCGAAACACCGGTACAGTACGGTATTACGAACCTTACTAACAACAGCCATCAAATACAATTATGCATCTCAAGAACAAGCCACAAGAAAATCCAATATAACATAACAAAGCCACCACAACAACACGGAAACATTACCAAACTGACTCCAAATAACTACCTCGGCCAAAAAAGTCGAAAGGACACTGAGAACCACAGACCTCAGAAGCACTTCCTGTGAACAATAGAAGGACCAGATTCTTCGTACTCTTGCTTGGAAATCCACATCTGTTGCAGCACAATGAAACGATTCGCAATTAGCAACTTAACGTAGAAACTGGTGCAGTATAAGCTAAAAATTTGATGAATAAACTCGATGATTTAAAATCCTGTAAAATAGATAAATCAACGAAAATATAGAAGAACGGGATCACCTGTTGGAAGGTGCTAAGTGAGGCAAGAATTGAGCCTCCTATCCATACGCTGTACTTCCTCTCTGGTGGAGCTACCACCTTAATCTTCATGCTACTTGGTGCAAGGGCTGTGATTTCCTTGCTCATACGGTCAGCAATCCCAGGGAACATCGTGGAGCCACCACTGAGAACAATGTTGCCATACAAGTCCTTCCTAATATCCACATCACACTTCATAATGGAATTGTAAGTGGTCTCATGGATGCCAGCAGCCTCCATGCCAATCATGGATGGCTGGAAGAGGACTTCTGGGCACCTGAATCTCTCGGCACCGATCGTGATCACCTGCCCATCAGGAAGCTCATAGCTCTTTTCCACGGTAGAGCTGCTCTTGGCAGTCTCTAGCTCCTGCTCGTAATCCAAGGCAATGTACGCAAGCTTCTCCTTGATGTCCCTCACAATTTCTCGTTCAGCAGTGGTCGTGAAAGAGTAGCCTCTCTCGGTAAGGATCTTCATCAAAGCATCGGTCAAGTCACGACCAGCAAGATCCAGACGAAGAATGGCATGGGGAAGAGCATATCCTTCGTAAATTGGCACGGTGTGGCTCACACCATCACCGGAATCCAGCACAATGCCTTTCATGGAATGAACACAAGCAATTAGCTGTGGAGTCATATGCGGTTAAACTGATAGTAAGAGAAGTCGACACGTACCAGTTGTACGACCGCTAGCATACAGAGAAAGAACAGCTTGAATTGCAACATACATGGCAGGCACATTGAAGGTTTCAAACATGATCTGTGTCATCTTCTCTCTGTTGGCCTTGGGGTTAAGAGGAGCTTCTGTGAGCAATACCGGGTGCTCCTCGGGGGCGACACGGAGCTCGTTGTAGAAAGTGTGATGCCAAATCTTCTCCATGTCATCCCAGTTGCTAACAATGCCATGCTCGATAGGATACTTCAAAGTGAGGATACCTCTCTTAGACTGAGCTTCATCCCCAACGTAGGCATCTTTCTGGCCCATCCCAACCATAACACCAGTGTGGCGAGGTCGGCCTACAATGCTGGGGAACACAGCCCTAGGGGCATCATCTCCAGCAAATCCAGCCTACATGATGAATGTTATACGATTGAATGATATCTTCTATAGGTTTGCAAGAGGAAAATATTTGGGCACCGGTTGGGATATCTGACCTTGACCATTCCAGTACCATTATCACAGACAAGAGGCTGGATTTCCTCACCATCAGCCATTTCTTTATGATCTGCAAAAATAAGCTGTAGTAGTCAGCAAGACCAAAGTTTCATACATATCACTTGTAGAGTTTCATTCTATCTTGCTATTGCTGATCTGCATACTGATGGTAATGACAGATCTAGAAAACAACAAGTTGCTGAAGATGTTTCACTTAGACTTAATGTAGCCCAAATGACATTTAAATCTTATGGAATATTAATGCTTTCAGAGGTGTGTTTCTTGAATATGTGTTTTTTCATGATAATATAGATGTATACTTTGAATAGATGTAGGCATCTTTTCTATGTCTATAAATTGACATACTCTCCACCCATCAGCACAATCCTATTTTCCACCTACGCTATTGCTATCATTAAAGTAGGTCAAAGTAAAGGTGAGATTTCCATCACTAAGATTAGTAGAAAAATTGAAGGAAGAAAAACCTATAATTCCATCAGGATTGTCCTCCAAGATATTTCCTTCCCTTTGAAGGTTGACTAAAGAATCTGCTGATGGATCAAAATATATTCTTCAACTAAAAGAATTTTTTTGTAAATCACTAAGTTCTAAAGAAAGAAATTATATTATGCACTGTGAGGCTTCTTTAATGCACAAAATCAAAGACTTAGTTTCATATATCTCCAATGAGATGCATAAGAATTTGATTTTTTTCTTTTCTAAAATCTTCCCAGCACGATTATATATTAAGCTGGAAAACATTTGAACCAAGATAACCAATTATGTGTGCAGTAATGACCATATTGCAGAGTCACAATTCTGGATTCTGGGTCAAATAGACCACTAAAAAATTTACCATGGACATGGCACTACTGTATAACAAACCAATCGTCTAATTACTCTCTACACAAAAGTCCATGTAAGCCTAATCATGCTTAATTGACGATTAGGGCAGCAACCCCACAATGTCTTCTCCTCAACATCATTAAATCTCAAATTCGCAATTTTTTCTTACGTTGGTGATGGATTAAAAGATCACAACTTCGATGATCCATTTAAGCAAGAGGATAAAAGTGTTTTCCAGAATATATCTGATGAAAGGGTGCGCATGGCCGCATGATCTCACAAGTCATCGACCCACGAGAATTTCCAGTTATACCAAATCGAGAATTTCCTCCTAAAAATCACCACATACAAAGCATTCGTAGAAACACAATGACCATCGGCATTCATAACCCTCACGATCTGATTCCAATCACCATATTTGGACAACACAAGTAGAAAAGAGATATGAAAGGAAGATGGTGCACAAAAATCACCCCTGATCTACGATTCGCCGATCGCAAACCTCAATACGCATCAAAATCACAATGCAAAACCGAAAGATATGAAAGCTGTATTAGATCGAGAGTCACAGGCCTTACTGAGGGCGAAGGGGAGGCGAGTGGGTGGTGAGCGAGGCTTCGCCGGCGACGAAAGGCACGGAGCTGTCACCGGGAGAAGGAAGCGGGGAGCGAAGCCGAAGGGGTTTAAAGAGGAATAAGCAAAAAAAGAAAATAAAATTTCAAATGGGAGAAAACACTTTTTCTCCTTTTTCCACTCAAAAGTCGTGCGGTGTCAGCGAGATTAAAGAAAGGGGCCATTTCACTCACCCACAATCTCGCCTTCATGTCCTGAGACTAATATGTCCCATTCAAGAAATAGGTACGTTTTGGGTACGCGACGCCGAGAAGGGTGACATGTTTTTGTTAAAGAAATAGGTGCGGGAAAAGATGTGCGCTGTCTATGAACGATCTCAACCGTCAGATTGGATAGCTAGGATTATCTAGACCGTACGATCTAACTTTGGTGACGGGGCCTGGGCATAACGTGGGGCGGACGCAGGGCGTCGCGTGGCCCCACGCCAACTCGCCAACCGCTCACGGTTTTCCACCAACTCGGTTCGGCTTGGTTCGGTTGCGGACGAGCGTCTTCCTCGTTGGACTCCTCCCCTTTGATCATAGCGTCCTCCCGATCATGAATCCATGATCGAACGGCATGATCACGATCTAACGGTTCAAATTTAACAGGGTATTTTGGAGTTTCCAGGCTCGTTTCCATGGATAGACGAGTCCAATAATGACATATCGATTCCCTTTAAAGTTGTAAAGTGACTTTTTTGCCCTTATGTAGTCTAATAAAGCAATAGTTTTCTCTAGAAAATAAAGTGTATTAAAATATTCATATCTTCAGTATTTTAAAAAAATATTCTCGTTTATTTTTTTTTACCAATTTTGAACTATAAATGCCTCACATAATTTTTTATTAAGGTATTAAAAATACTATAAATATTATTAAAAAACATAAGTGACATTATATTATTAAAAATACTATTAATGCCTCACGTATCTTCGTTTACAGTGTTTTTATTGCGATGGTCAAAATGCTATAATATGCGAAAAATATTGTAATAGGTTTAAAATATTATAACAGAATTTTTTTTGAGAGACAATTTAGATATTTTTTAAAATTAAGGATACTGTTTGAAAAAATAAAACGAGAATATTGATTAAAAAATATCCAATATTTTCTATGAAAATCACCAATATATACATATATATATATAATTTATTGAGAAGCATGAGGGGATCAAATAATTAGTGAAATTAATAAAAAAAAAAATAGATATTTAAAAAAACATAAGCATTGTCCAGAGAGCTCTTGCTTCACTACATACACTTTAAGCACAGAGGCAAGTGCTTCGTGTATGAAGCACAACGAAGGATAAAGAAGTTATATGACATTAAGATAATGAAAAGCAAGACAATTAAGGATAACAAAACTGTCACTCTTTCAGAGAATATAATACTTGCCGTAATAGCAATTATACTGTTCCTAAATAGCAGCAAAGAACTCTTTGCTGAGCTTAGGATCTGGCTTCATGGACATCTCTCCCGGCTTCCATCCTGCAGGGCAAACCTCATCTGGATTCTCCTGGACGTACTGCAATGACTGCAAGGTAAGATGTACATTGAATAATCATGTATTTAGGGAGAAAAGAGAGACAGCAAACTTTGGACATTTGATTTTGTCTGATCTTTTGCGCTCTCTGGTTTTTTGGAACCAAATATATATGTGTTCATAAGTAATATATAGATTTCCTTTTGAAAAAAAAAAATTGTATGTTAAATGCTTGCGGGGAAAAACTTGAAACCGATTAGTTTGTGGAATCATTGATTATGACATAATAGATTAGGAAAATGCTATTTAGGAAGGATGAATCACCCCTAAGGTCACACCTCCCTAATGCTTTTCGTCAGTGATCTGGTCTACCTAAATAGCAGTCTATGCTATATGCCTTGTTTGTTGAATACTGAAGGACCTCAAAAGCTCAACAGTCTTTGTTCCCTCATGAAAGTATAATCAGTGTAAGAGGCATACTGGTCAATGTAGGTGGCACCTCAGAAGTTATAATTAGAACTTCTCCGGTTGGATTTAGTTTATGTTGCAACTCATATATATGTCAAACTAAGGTAGAGCAAAAAATATAACAAAATTGTCAACGACATTGCAGCATGCCTGCAGGAATTAGTGCTGAGTAAATTGTTTACTTTTTCACTTATTACCTGAAGAGTCCTCATGGTTTCATCAACACTCTGGCCAATGGCAAGGTTATTAATGGTTGAATGTTGAATCACTCCTTCCTCGTCAATGATGAACAGTTCCGCAATGCAATATCCTGCATCATCATACAATATCGACCAACAATGTATATGATTTCTTGGGTGTTCTGTAAGTGACTATTAATAGAGAGTGGCATGTTCTTACCTGATTTGGAATCAGCACCCCGAAATATTTTGAAATTGATTTAGTAACATCAGAAATCAATGGATACTTCAGATCTCCAAGGCCCCTTGACTTCCTGTCCATTTGAACCCATGCAAGATGGGAGAACTGCAGATGAGATATTTACAATATTAAGGAATAATTCAGGATTCCCAATTCTGCAAGATTGAGGAGCTAAATAATGGTACAGAACAGAAGGCAGCCCAATGCACATGGCCACATAACTTATAAGTTCCATGTAGTGAAGGAAAGCACCATAAATATACAGGTATTGCTGCCAATAATACACATCTCTTTAACTGTTTCTTCACCATGTCCTTATTATCTTTTGATTTCTTATCTACATAAGTAACTACCTCAAAATAAGGTCTTATAGATAGAATTTCTTTGTTCGGAAGTTACCATATAGTAGAACCATCGGGAGACGGAATACGTAGATGAAGAGAAAAGTTGAAGAAAGAAAAGCAGGACGAAGCAAATGAGAGTTCCAACCGTTTTAAGTGCCGACAGTGAAGAGTTTTGATGAACAAAGGCAAAGGCAGGACCTTATTAAGGGGACAAGAACGGACTGATAGAAGAGGTACTTCCATGCAATAAACAGTAGTATCTAACAATTACGTAATGGGTGACTAATGATGGATGAATATGTGCCACATGTGACAGTACAGGGTATCAAACAATGAAGTGCAGATGATTATCTCATATAGCGTATTGGTTCCAACTACCAAAAAACGAACTGTTGGTGATCGAGTATGGATAAGACTAAGACAACTAGCAGTATGAAATGAACAAACATGTGACCCACAGATTGAAATTGATGCAAACTGTGTTCTGAGTCAGAAGCTTTAACATCCAAAGAATCAGATTAGTGGCCCATATACAATTACCCAGATCCCTCTATCCCCCTTGGACTTTGATATTGGTTCCTTGTCTCCATTCCAAAAAGTTTTATGTCCCAGAACAATGTTGTACATGAGCCATAATGATAAAATTAGAAATCCAATCTCACTAACATCATTCAATTTTATATATTATAACCAACTAAATACATAAAATCCATAGAGATTCCTACTATAGAATCCCAAGAATGCTCAAAACAGCAAAAAAAAACCAATTAAAGGGCAAACATCAACAATTTCATAGCTTTCAGGTCCGCTATTGCCATATCTGATAACACATTTGTATCAGTAAATGATTGATCAATAAAATAAAAATATGTATCCAACATAGCAAGCAACTTACATGAGTAAATATGTACTAAGACCTAAAATACTAAAGCAACTACTCATACCATGAACCAAGCTAAATGAAGCATGAAGATGATGATGAAAGGGAATCAGAAATCAATTGAAGTACCAATAGAAAATCACACATTTTTTTCAAGAAAAACAAATATTACTTATACATCTTGGTTTTGCAGGAGGAATACATCTAAATTTACTAATCTTTCCTTGCAAAATTAGAAAATGTTTGAAAAAAAGGAAATAGAAAGCCATGGTTTGGCACACAAAAACTACTAGAAATTAAAATAGAAAAGAAACAGCAGAGAGCAAGACATATGAAGCATAGCAGTTGACTATTCAAATATGTATCCACAAAATTTGTAATTGAGTGATAAATTAAATTCATGGGTACTCTTAAATAATTTTGAGGCACCCAGCCTGTCGACTTGTAAGCCCATTGAATCAAGATTAAGTCTACATGAATCAAATAAATAAGGAGCAAAAGAAATTCCAAAATACAGAAGAAGAAATACTTTACCACACTGTCAACTGAAACACCTAGAATCTCTGTATTTAACTTCCCAAAGTCTGAGTAGCGGTCACTAAAAGCAGTTATCTCTGTGACATAAAAGTAACAGTGTAATGTATCAGAACCGGGCTCAGAATCACTCATGCTAAACAGTTAACATTGTGCTCATAAGTCAAAATGGTTTGAACTTACCAGTAGGACAGATGAATGTAAAGTCAAGTGGATAGAAAAACAGAATAACATATTTCTTCCCAATATAATCAGAGTTTGACCTATCAAGGGAAGGAACTGGTTAAAGTTACTCCTTTGATATAAAAGAATAATTAGCAAAACTGTAAGTCAAGTAAATAATAAAATTGAATGGAAATTTATACAACTTGACTGGACAACCAATTTCATACAAAGTGGGAATACAAGGTTTTTTACAGTTTCTTCTATTATATGTTCTGAAAATCTTTTGAGGCCTGATACCAAAAAAAGAGTTTTGCTGATTATTTGGGTGGCATGAGAGGAAATATTTTAAAAAAATTCATTGTGCATTTTGTTCAAAATTTAACAGAGAAAAAATAACTGTCAAATGTAAAGTGGGAAGACAGAGTTTTAGGGCAGTTCAAGAATTTAAAACAATGGATGTACAAGTCTATGGTCAACTCTAATTAGTTATATTAAAGATGAAACACAAATATTGCTCTAGATTGCTGCTTGACAGCAGGCCAACATATAGGTTACAGGTGCTCTATAGTTGACCGACCAATAATTCTTGCGTGTAATTGTGTATATAAAGATATGCTGTCATGGGACTTAACAAGAGCAATTTAATTAAATACCAACCAAAAAACCATTCTTATAATGAGAATAAGCAGACAAAGATTGTTATATTAGAGGAAGTTCAGAATTTGAGAGAGTACTAGATGATCAACTATATTAACTACGTACTATTTGAGCTCATACACAATCAATTCTGACAGGTGGAATCTTTCACTTGTAAGCTCAGGGTAAATATGCAACGTTTACAGATATAGCCAAAATTACCATGATGAGTTGACTAATATGTAGTCCCCAATATTATAGATAAACTTGTAATCTGTCTGTGTTTCAGATAAGATTTCCATTTATATAAGATTCCAATTCCAATTATTCCAGCTACATAAGCATATCTTCGAACTCACAAGTCATACCACTGGGCAAAAGTTCTTTCCTAAATTGGACATGAATCCATATGGTAATTGGGCATCTCTTCTCCTCTCCAAGTTCCAAGCATCATCACTCATCATGCATAGCACTATTAAAAAGCATAAGAATAAAAACAAGCATATGTACAATTTTTTGTTCGGAACAGCAATAACATATAGGAAGAACCAACACTTCCGTTAGGCTATCATATTATGTCCAACACTAACACTCAAAGATGGTCCTTCCTATCCCTTCCATTTCTAACCTTTTTTTTTTTTTTTTTTCATTTTGCAAGTGGATACAAAATATAGAAACTGATGCAACACTTTTGTTTATGACTTCACACCTGTAGGACATCATTTCATGCCCTGAACCATTTTTAGATGTGTGTAATATTGAGGAAGGCATATGATGAGCTCATACTAATTTAATTTATTTGGTTGATTAATACGTCTGAATATGCAGTAAGACTTTTAGCATGTAGGACAATCTTTATTCATCATCATATTATCTTGTGTAAACATTATGTTCTTATTTAATCCATAATTAAAATTTTTGGTTTGCAAATGTAATATTTTGCTTATTATTAAATAGGCATCCCTGTAATATTTGACTAAGTTCCTTTTGAGAAAGAGCACCATGTTCTACAACATAGGCCACAAGGAAAACAAGATCATCCTAGACCAAAGTAAGCTGCCCATTCAAGTCCGTAGTCAATAGAGATCATCTATGATAAATATACAACAGACTGAGTGAGATGGGGAGTGAATCCCAGGCCTCTGTGTAGAAGAGACTGGTTCTCGCCCATCCAAGATGAGGGACAAATGGCAACTCTTTAACCATGTTTGCAACGGTGCAGGAAGGAAAAAAGTGCTATTTCAAACGACCAGTATAGAGCTGAGCTAACATCATCAGCAACATCAAAGCCACAATCACTTCATCGGACCAATGAGTACATCAAAGAAATATAACGGGTGGTGGAACGTGTTCGTACATTAATGAATTCCTGATCGAAAACAGCTTCGGCTTCAAAATCCGGCGCTTTATTTCCAACCAAAGGCAGGTCGCTCTGCAAAACGAAGTACAACACGCTCAATCAACCGATAAAGGCCAAACATTCCGAACACGATCACAGCAAATCATCCGACACCTTGAGAATTTATAGAACAATAAGCTCTAAAGATCAAGCTGAACCTTCAAAGTCAGATTCTAGATGAGAAATGCAAAAAAAAACCATGCGAAACCCCAACTGAAACGGGAACCTTGGTCGAACCAAAATTAATGGGGACTAACGACAAATGCCATCAAATTCCATCAAAAATAAACATAACAAAAAGGTCCAAGGGCAGGACCTCGAATGCAGCTTTGACGCAGAAACTTGTTGAGGATGATCTCTTGGCAGAGGCCAAGCGGGTGGAGAGAGGACGGAAGCCCTTGCTCGCCCTCAGGCCGAGGAAGCCCTTCGGGAGGGCTGGGGCTCTCGAAGGAGGGCACGGAGCAGGGGCTAAAGAGGCCACTGGATTCGAAGCCTTCAAGGAGACGATGGATGGATCGGAGCAAGTAGCCAAGGCTCTCTCGCTTCACCAAACTATGGATTCCCGAAGACGAGAGACACCGCGGATAGAAAACGGGGTTTGGGTTCGAATAGCGAACTGGAGCCAAAAGCTGGTTCGTTTGAATGGTGCAGATCGCAACGCTGACGTCAATAGCCTGATTGTATCGAGCCGGAGACGGGCATCTCAATCGTAGCCCGTCGATTCGAATCGACTCGAGTCAAACCTGATCAATGCCTAATATAGTTGGCCCCTCACCTCATTGGATCAAGTTCGACACAGGAAATTAAACTCCGACCCGTCAAATCGATTAGACACGTGGCGAACCGTTAAATTATTTTGCTCCAATTGGATTTCCATAAAGACCACCAAAATTAAACCTATTTCCACATCAACAAATGATCGACACAACATTTGACAGTTGGCACCTTTCATTAGCCAACTTTAAAATGTATCTTAAACACTTCATCTCACATGTAATCTTTATAGTTGACTTCATTCCTTCCTCAAATTCTCTGCGATTTATTTTCATTTATCAATTAGTTTTTCCTATTTTTGATATTTTATTTTGTAATATATTAGTTTTTGTTGGAAGCAAAGTCAAACCGAGGGGCGCAAGTCAAATTAGCCACCGAATAAAAATACATAGAAATCCACTCTCTCTCTCTCTCTCTCTCGCTCGTCCCGATGGCGGGTGACGCCGCCGCTGCGGGGAAGCCATCGGGTCCGCCGGCGACCCTCGATTTCGTAATCCGGCACTGGAGACCGGTTTCCTCCGCCGCCAGGGAGCCGTCCCTACGGCGACGCCAGCCTGCGAACCGACTGGGGGCGCTCGACCTGGGGCTCCCCACCCCCAATGGCGGCGGCGACGTACAACGCGACCCTATGGCGATGGAGCGCGGGACGAGGTACACTAGCCTAAGGGACCTCATGGACTCGCCGCTGCCGACGCCACCGGCCACCAAGGTAGCCGGGGAGATCCGGATCAAGAACCGCCTCGTGAAGCGGGCGGCGTACGCGTACCTCCAGCCGGCATCGTCGCTGGCGGAGTCGGACCGCCGCCGATCGCTCCGCCGGGCCCTTGCCGTCCTCAGCTGCGGCCTCGCCGCGGAGCCGCTTTTCACCTGCTTCGTCTTCCTCACCCACTTCTTCTGCCGCCCGCGGCGACGACTCTTCTAACGGCATCGCTAAAGCCGTTCCCTTTTTTTATTTTGTATGATTTATTCTTTTTTTCTGCTTCATGTAAAGAAAAAAAAAAGCGCACGAAAATAGAATTGCCAATTAATTTTAATGAAGACATGGGCGATGGAGTGACGACGTGAGTCCGTGAAACAAAGATGAGCAATGACGATCATCTGATCATGATCCGACGGGTGAGATCGGTCGATGCGGTAGAGTTTGTTTCTTTGTGTTCGTTCTTTTGTCACTAATTCATTTTCTGCGTGTATATTTTTCAGGACAGAATTCGCTGTAATTTAATTTGCTGCTGTATCATAAAAATATTTATTATATAAAAAGATTTATATTAAATGTAAAAAAATATAGATATTGTATAAATCGTCATATAAATACATAAAGTTTTCAAGTAAAACATAAAATATTTTATTTCTATCTTCCCTTTTCTTTATGCAGCTCAATAAGACCGTTGCCGCGAGCAAATGAGAAGTTACTGGGGACATCTATACCATCTTCCAAGGGCTGGATCTATCATGGTGGCTGTAGCTTCCTCCTTCCGGATATGAAGAGACAGACAGAGAGAGCGCTCATGTGCATGTGTTGTTGCTGGGGATGGATTTAGCTCTTCCTTCCAGTAATCCATAAACTAGGGTTAGCGTAGCGGAGGAGAAGACGCCTGAGGACAGGGACAAACAGGCCTACCATGTGAATGATACAGTGCGGTCCCCGCAGGCAGAGTTCACGGCGCCTCAAGATCCGTGCTGTTAATACCATCGGAGCAGTCTGTAGTTCGCAGACGGACGCGTTCTCCGCGGTGGGTGTCGGCTTCATTTGCTGCGGAGGAAGAACGAGACCTTGTTGCAGGCTTTAAGACGCGTGTAACATTGATCAGACGGCGTTGATCTAGTTGGAACTGGACGAAACAGTCGTACTTCAACGATATCATTGGTATTTTCGTGGTATGTTAATATATCGTTGCAAGCTTTAAGATGCGTGTAGCCTTGATCAGACGGTGTTGATCTAGTGTAAGAGAATTGTATATATATATATATATATATATATATATATATATATATATATATATATATATATATATATATATATATATATATATATAAAAGATGATAACAACATTAATCCATTAAGAGAAATATCGCGTCATATAAAAAGATAT